CCGGTTAACAAATTGGCCAAGAGACTCGATAGCGGTGCGCGTTAGAACGCGCGGAGCATCGTGTCCTGTGTCCTATGTCCTATGTAAAACGGCGCGCGGACGCGCCACCCGATTTCCGAGGATGATGCAAACAGCCGCGCAGGGAAAGAAATACGCGAGAATACCTTGGCAAGCGTTACGCCGAGGGGCATGTCCCGGCGCACGTTCCATCGGGTGACACGTGGAGCATTATCGATCGTTGCCAGAATAGAAGGAGAGAGAATATAAACGATGGTATATGTGTACGCTGTTGATACGTTGTACGCGTGCTCTTCCGATGGCATCAACCTACCGACGCCCGCCTTCCACCTTTCGTAGCGTATGCCGGCAAATGAAATTCGAAGAAAGGAGGACCCAAGGCGGAGAAGTTTCGGGCTGGTTGACTAAATCCTTCGTTAACTTCGCGATCATCGTACCGCCTATCATAAATTTACCTCGAATCGGGAGTCGGCGTGAAAATTTAAACGTACAAAACAATTTATCGACCGTTCCCGATGTAGACTTCGAACAGTTGCAAAAACTATACTTTCTTACAAATCGATCGATCGCCCGAACAATCGAACAAGATCGTCGATAGTCGGATAATTTGAAAAAGTCGCCGAATCGATGGTCCACACCGAAAGGTTCGAAATCTCGAAACCGACGATCGATGCGATAGCAAGTTACCAAACGAACGTCCACAGCTGGTATTTCGATACGATAATCGATGCGACGAAAACTGAAAATAGCTTCGCGATCGAATCTATCGGAAATATGCTACGCCAATAATAGATCGTCCGAGATGTCGCTGCGCTTTCGCAGTTTCAATCTGGACAAAGAACGTCGTCGCTCGCGCGCGACCGACGCGGCCGTCAAAATGTTAACATTGGCATAAATCGAAAATTTCCGCCGAAGGTCTCGGAGTCGTGTCGTCGAATCCGACGCGTAGCGGTCCGAGCGTGCGAGCGTGTGCGCGCTCGCGCGCGCGCGGTCGACGGTGCCCGCCCGCTCGTGTTCCGGTGGATAACCCTGTATCTCAGCCGGCGGAGCAACAGCAGCACCGACACCAGCAACGACAGCACTCCGCGCCGATGAAGTACACGGCCGGGTGACCGACCTTTACGTAACGCTTGGCTGTTTGTGCCGGAACGGCCGACGTCCATTCGATCCAACGGCAATGTGTCGCCCGATGCAGCTGCAACGTGTCGGGAGGCAACGCGAAGACGCTGCCGCGACGCGTCGCACGCTTCTCCAAAATCTTCGAGTCGACGAAAAAGATGGGCAACGTCGATGCGAGACCTTCGTTTTTATCGGAATCGGCACTTCGCGTTCGTCGAGCTTCCTGGCCGAAAAAATCTGCAGGGAGAATTACAAAAACCGAAGGGATCGTTGAAACGTTTAAAATGAAAAAAAGGTATACTTTCCTCTTATAGCTCCCGTAAATTCAAAGTCCTGTCCGTTTTCAATTATTCTTGCGAAATATTATATCTTTATATTTAGTCGACATCGTTGCCGTCGTTAACCAGTTAGCTGTTGCAATCTCTTTACACACAGATTTCGTATATTTCCATTCGCGTACGCGCGTAACGGATAAAAGCTCTGTCGCGAACGAGTATCTCGGAATTCCGCTGGTATTTTTACGGCAACGCGTTGATCGGGTCGATCCGACGGACATCTGGATTTTGTCAGTCGGTCGTACGTTCCGAATCTTCGAGGGAAAAGATCGGTCTCGGCGTCGATCGTCGTTCGAGCTCCGTGTCAAAGATTAATTATCCAAGACTAATCATTGATTTCGAACGCAACGATGGTTACGGCATATCCGTTATATTTTTCGAACGAAAACAATTGACAGACAGCTATCGGCTACGATGGTTGACCGCTCCGCGAGGATAACTCTAAAAGCCGATAACTGCGCTGTGCGAACCTTTCTACGAACAGAGATTTTTACGCGTCGCGTATCCGTTCCCTCTAATTAGGCTTTCTACGAACAACGTTGAACAGAAGCGAATTTGTTTTACGCGTCGGCAATTATGATTTTAAACGCTTCGATAACGACGCGTCGCGTGGATCGCATGCGATCCGCGGTTAGACGTTGATCAGGGTTTCCTGAACGATCCAAGTAGATCCGAGCAGATCGAAACGAGGTAGACGCGCGTCTACGGTATCGGCAGATTATTCTACAACTGTACGAATCTGCAACAGAATACCGCAGCGTTCGTTCACGAAACGAAGTTGCATCGATCGCATTCGACGTCTCGTGCTCTCGCACAGCACGCCGACAAGGCTCGTCTCGTGCTTCTTTGTTTCGGGGTAACGCGTAGTAACTGCGTAGTTACGCGTGTATCCGCATATTTCAAATCTAATTCGTTCGAGACTTTCTTTAACGAAACAAGTTTTGGAACGCGAGATTTTTCTTTTTCTTTTTATTTCGTCGTTTCAACTAATTTCAATCGTTGAAAAAATATTTTTAGACGCAAAGCAGTCCCTCGCGCATCTCGTACAAATTCCAGTCGCTGGGTTCAACGTGGAAAAAGTTATTCCGTTTCAAAAGGCGTTCGAACGCTTTCGCGAGTCACCGTACCATATGCAGTTTGTCCTTGATTCTAACGACTTCTTCCACCGCACGGTCTTGCACCGTTCCGCATTCTAATTTTCTAGTTACGTACAATGTTGGAATCCGGGCGTGCGAGCTAAATAAACTTATCGTTTCTCTCAAAAGATCCGTGAAACGTTTTATTTCCATATGTTGGTTATTTGGACCGAATCGATCGTTTAAAACGTGATATCGCGAACGCCTTCGCTGCCACGCGCGTTGCACTATTTTCAATCCTTTGCTACGAGATATTCGCGCGACGATTCGAACAAGCGTGTATTCGCCTTTTATACTCGCGTCGATTACGAAAGAATTATAAGCGAAACCGTTCTCGTGGTTAGCATCGACGAACAGAGTTCGATGAATCGGTTCGACTTGGCATCGGCGGTGATCGCGCGTGCCGGAAATTCGTCCTCGACCAAGCAAGGGCTTCTATCCGTGAAGGCAATGACATTGCTCGCAATGCCGCGACGCAGTCCCGCCTGCCTGCATCGGCTAATGCCGTCGCCTCTGGTTGCACCGTCCAAACTGCGCCGACCGAACCATGCGATGACGCGACGCGTGTTCGTAGCAACTGTTAAGTTGCAACGACTGTCCTTCGGCGGGCGTAAAGTTCGCGTAAAGTTCGATCGTGGGGTCGTACCCGGTCAACGATCTATAAACGACCCGATTTTTCAGAATTTCTTGGCACGAAATTCGTGGACTTCGTGTTCCGAACACGCGTACACCCTTCGTGCGCGCACACATGCTCCAATTACCGCGGATATTTCTGCAAAATAAAAATAAACATCTCTTTTCCGAATCGTTCCAACGAGTCGACGATAATACGATCATATTTTCGAATTGTATAAATGTTTCCGCTATTTTTGCATTCGATCTGTTCGTTTTTCTCATAAATTCGTAAAATCCGCGGCCCGATAATTGCATTCGCTCGGGAAGAGAATCAGTTTTGATAAAGTCATTTTTGATCGATCGAGAACGCGAGAAAGCATGCTCGCTGCACCCGTGTGCACATTACTGTGAAGGGGAATGGATGCCATCGAAATTGCGACCGCGTACAGCCTATTTTGAGAAAGTTACAAGACCTCCAGAACGATTACAGGCATTCTGTAAAGACGAGTTTCTGGTAGCAGCGCATTTTATTTTACGCCATGCTGCGCGACGACCGATTTTCACCTAGAATAACAACATCTCTCGGAACCGTGACGCAATATTAATTCTGTTCACGGTTTAAAAATTTGGTGCATCGAAAGTCGATCGAGAGTTACCAACTAACCAACTTGCCGGTCCAATATTTCAAAAATATTCCGGTCGTTCGGATCGATGTTGAACAAATTATTCGCTCGCTGTAGCGTTGGACGAGACGCGTGATATAATATTGCAATTATACGAGTAATTGCCGAGTCGCGTAACATCGACCACGCGCGCGCGCGCGTACTGATATTTTTTTCTCTTTCGGATATATCGTAAAATTTGTACCGAAAATATTGTTTCCGATCGAACCGATTCAAAAGCGCTCGCGTAAAAGGAACCAGCGAACTTTTTTACCGTCGTCCATTGTTACGCAGAATCGCAGAAAACCATTCGTTCGAGTATCCCGGCATTACCGAAGTGGATGCGCATCGAGAACGATGGTCGTTTAATTCCACTCGCTGGTGCTTTATATAAGCCAATTAATTTCTCCGGTTTAATTTGACCGTACTAATTGCATGCTTTCGCTCGGGGAGATCGTCTCTCGTGTTTCTCGATTAGGCATGTCGCTCGAACGATTCGATTCGATTCGAAGGACATTCGATATTCCATGTACACGCACCGAGCACCATCGAAGGTCGAACCTACGAAAGGGAAAATTATTTAGCATGCGACACGCTTTTGGAATAAATTCAACGAGATCGACGACGTGTGCGACGAGCGTGCGATATAGTCGAAAACGGCGAAAGATCTAAACGAATCATTTTTATGAAACAACACGCGTTGCTCGGTAGTTTAGCGTTAAAATGTCTTTCGTTCCTCTTCGGTTGGATAAATACGACGAAGGGTGTGATAGTACTTTGAATAAATTCAAAGCTCGTACACGGATTTCACCGATCTTAAAAGCCACAGGTGCTTCGTACTTTTTATCTCCGGTATGCGTATATTTTTGAAGAAGAAAAATAAAGGAACATCGTTCGTATATAGTAATTTTCCTAAAAGGTTTGGAAAATTCTTGGGAACGCGTGGAACGTATCAAAGCGCGAAACCTTTCCCTCGATTTAATCAGAGAGGAAAGGTTTTTCGCTAAAATACGAGGGACAGTTTTCTTGCCAACTAAACTCTCTTCCGCACCCCCTGCGCTCGCTGGAGGCAGTATTCCACCGGTGCTTTACGATCGTGTTTCTTCCTGTTTCAGCGCCAAACAGCCCACTCCATCTTAGCAACAGGGCTCACGTATTGCTTTTGCTGAATAGGCCTCAAGCGTCGCTCACCGATGCCGATCATGCGGTTAGGCTACGACCGGATTGGGGCAAGGTGAGAACATCCACTTTCGCGTAATACGGGCCTTCTTCCTTTGTCCGGAAGAATGTCCATCCATTTTGTCCATCGATGTCCATATCCTAATTTTTGTTTCGTCGTCTACAGGGCCACTACAGAAGAGGGGTAGCTTTGTCGGCACTGGGTAGGCACGAAGAAGCGCTGTTCGCCTTTTGCATCAGCGTTGCCATCGATAGGAATCCCCAAGCTGTACGCCACGAATTGATCAAGGTATACTAATTTCTACGTAGACGTAAATATTCGAGCATCGTACAAACAACGATCGCGTTTTTGTCTCTTTGCAAGAATCGCCGAGATAAATGGAACGTTGTTGCACGAAGAGAGACGATCGGACACCCTTTACGTTGTAACGAATGGAACATTTATTTTCGCAAGTATCCGCGGTCTACCGATTCTACGGTTGTGTTCGATAACTCGAATCTTAATCGTTTCGAAACTACTTGAAATTCTTGTAGTAATTAAAAAAAAAAAAACGAGTTCGATCTATGTTTTCGAAAAAGTAACTCGCCGATTTGTATCCGACAACGTAAAGATCGTTGCACGAGAGAGACTGCGAACATTTATTCTAATTCTGTTATCGTCTCGAGCGTTGCACAAACTTTCGTAACCGAACGGTAGAAACGAGCGAAAGAGAAAGATAGAAACGCGTCGAGATATAGCACGGTGCAGAGTCACGAACGTGCACCGAACAGAAAACGTGCATAAAAGAAGTAGACGTCTGTGAACGATGGCATTTCCGGTACCGGTGCTGCTGGTATAGCTTAATGACGCGGCATGATAGTCGTCAGGTGAGTGACCCATGCCGGAGCAACGATAGCCACTCGCGAGTGCATAGATACGTTCTTCGAAGACGGCGTAGCGTCCGTTACGCGATACTCGCGCCCCTCTGTCTCATTTTCTGGACTCGTTTTCACGGTGAAAACAGAATCTTTTACGAACGATTTAACGAATTACGAATTAATTGGGTGTTACGAATTCTGGACGGCTATTCTCGCGGTTTCGACGAGCCGTCGGCATAGGCGGAAGACGAATGGACGTAAGACGGGAATAAATAGTCCGCGATTGATTTTCACGAATGACAGGAAGCATCGGAGCAACCCGGCGGCGCGGCGATTCGATACCACGTTGTATGTATTATATAATATAATAAAGCCGCTACGTTGCCGGGGCCAGCATCCCGAGATAACGGTCGGAATGGGACAAAAATATCGAGGGAATTTATTTCCCCGTTGGGCTCTGTCGCGGTGTTTCGATCGATGCGACGATCGCGCGTTCCAATAAGACTCCAGGTGAGCGACCCAAAGCTGGTCTACGCTTAACGCAAGGCCAGCGGCAATTACTCGCAACTCTATGCGTTCGATCCTTCAACCCCTTGCCTTACGATTTAGTTCGTCGAAGGAACGCGCGTCTTCGGACGATTGAATTTAGCGGAACTCTATGCGAGAAGTCGTCGCAAAACATATCGATCGCGCTCTTCGATAACGCGTAACAAATGTTTTGCTTTGCTTGCCGTGTTTCGATTTTAATGTTAAGGCCGAAGCTATCGTAAGAAAATCGGATATCGGATACCGCTGCCACGATACTCGCTATTTTTATATCAAATTTGCAGCTTACGGAGAACCCTGAAAGGAGGATCGCGTCTTTTACGTTACGCGTAATTAGCTCGGAATATCGATCGAAGAAATAAAACGCCATTTTTACCTTCGTTTTATAAATCTTGGCTCGAAGGTTGAGTTTTGCATAACAAATTTCGTATGCGTGCGACACGAACGCTTTGTAGTATCCAAAACGAAAATCAAACGAATGTAAAAGGTACAAAATACCGAATGAATATTTAAAGATCGATCCGTTACAAGTTTCGATTTTATCTTTACCGATATATTAATCTTATCCGATATAATAATTTATACGAAATTAATAGTCATCGTTTCTAGCAGCTTTCTTTATTGTCCGTTCAACGTTTAGAACATTTGGAAGCGATAAAATACAGATAAACGTTTTTTAATATCGAACGTATACATGCGTCGACCGTATTTGTCGGACGCCTGTTGGGAACGTTTCTAATTTTGTAACTCGTGCAGCGAATAAACATCGTATTTGCAAACTGTATTAAATCGGTAGCGTGTGAACGATTGTTCGAGTTTCGTGTACAAAGATATTTTCGAATAAATTAAATATCGATATTTGTGTTACGCTTTCGAGAGCGATCTAGAAAACGCACCCTTCGAAGCAAAGTTCGTTATTTTTATATGTTAACGTTGAAAAGAGATATCGAGATCGCCGCGATTACGAAACGTAGATTTCGACTTTTCAGTTTCGATTGTATCGTTTATTACAATTCCGAGAAATACTAAATTCTGTAGGGGGGGGGGGGGGGGGGGGNGGGGGGAGTTAATAGAGGACGAACGAGTAAGACAATATTTAATGGCGAAACGAGCCACGAAGATAATTTAATTCCGAACGTTCATTATGTAACAGAGAGCCTGCTGGAATCATTGACGCAAGTTGCACCGGTAGTTATGTAAGATCGAGGAATCATTCTTTTGGCGTAACGTTCGAGCTATGGGGAAAATAACGTTTGTCGCTTTCTTCCTATTAAAATATCCCTTTGTTTCGAACGAAACGTGTTACGAAGTTACGTAGGATGATAAGAATTTTACGCCGGTCGAATATCGATGGGACGCAAAATTCGCGTTCGCGAAGTAAATAAACGCTTCGAACGGTTCGACGAAATTTATCGAATAAATAAGAATATTACTTTCAAGGCACAACCGATATCATGGCAAAATTATAATGTGAAAAAAGAATAAGAAAAATGAAT